GTAGGGAGTGATGTTTTGAGGGGCACAGGAAGCCCTGTCTGATAGGCGACACTGAGTTGATCTTAAGAAAGTAAGGCCGGGCGCGGTGGCTCACGCCTGTAATCCCAGCACTTTGGGAGGCCGAGGCGGGTGGGTCACGAGGTCAAGAGATTGAGACCATCCTGGTCAACATGGTGAAACCCCGTCTCTACCAAAAATACAAAAAATTAGCTGGGCATGATGGTGCGTGCCTGTAATCCCAGCTACTCAGGAGGCTGAGGCAGGAGAATTGCCTGAACCCAGGAGGCGGAGGTTGCAGTGAGTCGAGATCGCGCCATTGCACTCCAGCCTGGGTAACAAGAGCAAAACTCTGTCTCAAAAAAAAAGAAAGAAAGAAAGAGAGAGAGAGAGAGAGAGAGAGAGAGAGGAGAGAGAGAGAGAAAGAAAGCAAGAAAGAAAGAAAGAAAGAAGGAAGGAAGGAAGGAAGGAAGGAAGGAAGGAAGGAAGGAAGGAAGGAAGGAAGGAAGGAAAGAAAGTGATAGCCAGGCAGGTGGCTCACGCCTGTAATCCCAGCACTTTGGGAGGCCGAGGTGGGCAGATCACAAGGTCAAGAGATCGAGACCATCCTGGCCAACATGGTGAAACCCCTGTCTCTACTAAAAATATAAAACTTAGCTGGGTATGGTGGCACACCCATAGTCCCAGCTACGGGAGGTTGAGGCAGGAGAATCGCTTGAACCAGGGAGGGAGAGGTTGCAGTTAGCCGAGATCACGCCACTGCACTCCAGCCTGAGTGACAGAGAGAGACTTCATCTCAAAAAAAAGAAAAAAAGATAGTCATATAGCCATCTGGGGGAAGGGCCCTCCTCTAGTGCAAACACCTTGGAGTGTGCTTGGAATATTCAAGAACATTGAGGTGGTTAGTGTGACAGATGTGGAATAGGCCAGGGGAAAATGATGGGAGACGACATTAAAAAGGTAGCCAAGAACCATCATACAGGGTCTTGGAGGCCCTGGGAAGAACTTTGCATTTTATTTGAAGTGCTATGGGAGACAACAGGCAAGCAGAGGAATAACATGATCCGACTTATGTGTTTAAAGAATTGCTTTAGCAGCCAGTGAAAAATACATTATAGAGAACCAAGATAGAGGCAAAAAGATTAGGTGGGTGGCTGTTGCAAGAGTGCAGGTGAGAGATGGTAGTGGTGAAGGTAGTGAAGACAATGAGAAGTGATCAGGCTCTGGGCATTTTTTTCAAGGCAAAGTCAATAGAATTTTCTGATGGTTGGATATGGGGATGAGAAAGTGAAGTCTACATGTCTGAAAAACCTGAGTGATCGGAGCTGCAGTTTACTGAGTTGAAGACAGAGGAGGAGGTAGAGGGTAGGCAAGCAGGAGTTTGATTTGGCTCATGTGAAGCATTAGATGCTTGTTAAATATCCAAATGGAGATGCTGAGTAGGTGGTAGCGGGATATACAAGACTTGAGTTCAGGAAAAAGGTGAGGGTTGGAAACAAAATTGGGTATTTCAAACCAAGAAACTGAATGAGACCACCTAAGGAATCAGGATAGATTAACAAAAGAGTAAGTCTAAGGACTGAACCCAGAGACATTTTGCATTGCTATAAAGGAATACCACGACTGGGTAATTTATAAAGAAAAGAGGCTTATTTGGCTCGTGGTTTATTTGGCAAGTTATACAAGAATGGCACCTACATCTGCTCAGCTTCTGGTGAGGGCTTCAGGAAACTTATAATCATGGCAGAAAATAAAGGGGGAGCGGGCATGTCACATGGTGAGAGAGGGAGAAAAAGCGAGAGAGAAGAGAAGGTACCAGGCTCTTTTAAACAACCAGCCCTCCCATGAGCTCACTTACACCATGGGGGAGGCAGCAAACCATTCATGAGAGATCTGCCCTCATGACCCAAACACCTCCCACTAAGCCTCATCTCCAGCACTGGGGATCACATGAAATTTGGAGGGAACAAATATCCAAACCATATCACTTGGGAAGGAGAGACTTAGAGAGTAAAGTCTCACAGGCCAAAATGTCTCAAGAAAGAGGGAATGATTAACTACCAAATGTTTTAAATAAAATTTCAGCTTACAAAGGCAATTACTTTCAAATTCAGCATAGACTTTACTTTCTTTTTCAGTTCTTCTCTAGATGTTTTTTGGTGGGGTACCCCCAGGACTTTTCACTGATCTCATTCCACCCAGTTCAGGCCCCTTTTCATTTCATAATAGTTTTTCTCCTTGTCTTCCCAGAAACCTTGGCTTGGCAGGTGTAAGGAAAGCTGAGACATAAAACAAAATAGTAAAACTGTTTGAATGAAAATGAAATATGTGCTCCCAACCCACCGCTGGGTACATTTATACAGGATATCTACTCTCCATCCTCATTCTGTTTGCCAAGATTTCTAGAATTCATAATCACAGCACTTTTTACTATTTCTGCCATTGCCACATTTTTACCAGTATCTTGCACAAATGGCTGATACCTCATAATGGAAACATTACTGGATTTAAAGTCATCACAATGCTTTAGTTTCTGTCTGGGCTGTGCTAATAAAATGCTGTGTAACGTTGGGGAAAATGCCTCTCTGGCTCTTAATAAAATGAGATCAAGATGAGTAAACAAGTTGTCAACCTGTGACCCTAGTTAAAAAAATGTCTTCTTTACAATTATGGTCAGATATTATGCTCAGTCTCTTCTTATTAGTTCTCATAGTTTGTTTGCAGATTCCTTTGGATTTTCTACGTCCACGGTGATGTGGTCTGAAAATAACAATTATTTGTCTCTCTTTTTCTAATCCAGTTATATCTTTTTTTTTTTGTCTCATTGTTTTGGCCAAGACACCAGTTAATTAATAAATACTATCAGTGACTCGAGAAATCATTGTCTTATTCCTGACTTTGATACTATTTCTTCTAAAGGTTCAGCATTAAGTCTGATGTTTTATAAAGTTTACTAAAAATTTTTCAAATTATAAATCCATATTTAATTTTATCAAAGATTTTTACTATGTCTTCTGAGATGATCATATTTTGTTTTACATTTAATCAATATGATGGACTATGCTGATAAATTTTTGAAATATTGGCCCATTCTCACATTCATGGGACAAATGCCATTTATTCATGGTGTGTTTTTATATGTCAACAGCTTTGATTTGCTAAAGTGTCATTTAGGATCTTTCCAACTATTTTCATAACGATGCTGGTGTGTAATTTTCTTTTCCTGAATTTGCATGACACTTTTCAAGGGTTGAAAGAAAAGAACTGTCAACCTAAAATTTTATATTCAGGATAAGGGTTAAATCAAGACATTCTCAGGTGAAGGAAAACTAAGATAATTTGTTAGCAGTAGCCTTGTCATAAAAGAGTGCCTATAGAATATCTTGAAACAGAAAGAAATAATTAAAGAAGAAAACTTGAAGGCCGGGTGTGGTGGCTCAGCCTTCAGTAATCCCAGCACTTTGGGAGGCCAAAGTAGGCAAATTACCTGAGATCAGGAGTTCAAGACTAGCCTGGCCAACATGGCAAAACCCAATCTCTACTGAAAATACAAAAAGTAGCTGGGAATGATGGCATGAGCCTGTAGTCCTAGGTACTCAGGAGGCTGAGGCAGGAGAATCACTTGAACCCAGGTGGCAGAGGTTGCAGTGAGCTGAGATCATGCCATCACACTCCAGCCTGGATGACAGTGCAAGACTCCATCCAAAAAAAAGAAGGAAACTTGAAACATTAGAAATAAAGAAATAACAATGAAAAGAGTTAAAATATGGGTAAATATAATAGCTTGTCCTTTTCCTCTTGAACGTTCTGAATTATGTTCAAAAACTGAAGCAAAACTTATATTACCTGATATGGTTCTCATTGAATATAGACAATATATTTAAGACAAGTATAAAGATAGAATAAAAAAGAAACCTAATATAGGTAAGGATTTTATACCCAGTTGAACTGGTAAAATGTCAACAGAGGTAGATGAAAAGTTAAGTATGTAGAATGTAATGTGTACAGCAACCACCAAAAAAACTCTTCAAAAAGATACACTGTAGCTAAATCAAAATGGGATTATAAAAAATATTCCTATAACACACAGGATGGCCAGGAAAGTAATACAGAGGAACAAAACCAACAAACAAACAGAAATCCAGAAGAAACAAAGAGAAAACAACATAATGGCAAACTTAAGCCTGATATGTAAATAATTATGTAAGGCAAAGAAATAGGATAAATAGCTCCACAAGATACTGCTGATTTTTGACAAAGACACAAAAATATTTCAATGTAGGAAAAATAATCTTTTCCATCTCGTGGTACTGGAACAACAGAACACCCAAAAAAAAAAAAAAAAAACAAACCTGAATCTCAACCTAAACTTCATACCTTATGTTAAAATTAAGTCAAACTGGATCATACATTTAAACATAAAACTATAAAACTTTCAGGAGAAAACCTTCGGGCCTTAGTGGTGGTTAGAAAAAAACTTATAAGTTGAATTTCACCAAAATTATAATGTTTGCTCTGCAAAAGACCAAGAGACCCCATTAAGAAGATGAAAAGACTGGCTACAGACCAAGAAAAAGTATTTGTAAACCACATATCTGACAAATGACTCATACCTGGAACATATAAAGAATTGTCAAAACTCAACAATAAAAAAAAGAAAGAATCTGATTATAAAATGGACAAAAGACATAAACAGGCATTTCACCAAGGAGGATATGGACATATAGATGGCAAATAAGCACATGAAAAGATGTTCAACATTATTAGGCTTTAGGGAAATGCAAATTAAAATCACAATGAGGTATCACTGCAACACCTATTAAAACAGCTAAAATATAAAATGGAAATATACTAAATGCTGATGAAGATGGGGAGCAACTGAATCTGTCATAGATTGTTGGGGCAAAGTAAAATATTACATTCACTCTAAAGTAGGTAAGAATTACTCAGTTTCACGTGTTTATGTCGTGACCCCTCCTACTTCTTTTACACATCAGCTGAGGAAGAGAGAAGTGGCTTCATTTCAGTGGCTGACTTCCAGAGAGCGATATGGCTGGCTCCCCAACATCCCTCACCCTCATGTACATCCTTTGGCAGCTCACAGGTGAGTCCAGCCAGAATCTCTTCCACTTTCCTGTCTTCCCCATCCTGAAGTGTAGTTCCAGGTTTCTTGTTCCACTCTGGGCCTCTGGCTCAACTCAGGAGGCTCTGTGTTCTCTTCTAACATTTGCTTTTTACTAACCTCTGATCTCTGAATCTCGGGTCAGGAAGAGACTAGAGGGAGAGGGGAAAATGGCTGTGGGAATGGTCTCCCCTACTGACTGTTCCAGGAATGAAGGATCTGAAAGAAGTGGTGCTGGGTATCAGAGACTATTTTTCTAATCCAGATTCTGCCATGAGTTAGATAAGGAATGTTTAAGGTTTCCTGGGCCTCAGAAACTTTATCTGCTAGCCTCCCCTCCTTTTGAGAGCAACTTTAAGAGCAAAATAACTGTACAGTTATATATTTTATTTACTTATAAATGTATTTATAAAACTGGTTATACATAACAATATAAATGGAAACAACCACTTGAATTTTCTCTCCTTATTCAAGCAATCTAATCAGTCTCTACTTAGAGAGCCAACTCATGTCATAGACACTTTATGTTTAATCCATGGAGGACCCAGGACTGTTCTGCACCTGTCAGGGGTATTCCAGTCTTTGAAGATTTTTGTATCCTAAGGGCTCTCAAAAAGGAGCCCCGTAAGTGAGAAATATCTCTTCTGTCTTCAATCTCATGGAGTACCACCATGAGGTCACCCTCTGGGGACTTCACATAACTGCTTCATTATGTGTATGTGCACCTGAGCCTGCCTGAAGTGACCTGCCCAAGACCACACAGGCAACTGGTGTCCCCAGTCCTCTCCCCTGCATCACCTGGCCTTGCTAAGTGATCAGCCTCAGCAGACTCTGACCTGCTTTGTATTCAACAGAAGTTTGTATTTTGGGAAAATTCCTTGGGATTCATCAGAAGTACCAGGTGGTTCTGAAATAGGCTCTCACTTTAAAAAAAAAAAAAAAAAAAAAAAGCCACTCCCTGAATGAAAACGGTGAGCAGAAGTGGAACTTGAGGGAAATAGGGTGGAGGGTTGTGGGGAACGACAGAAATTCTGAAAGCACCAGGTGTCCACCAGTGGGCGAAAGGGCACAAGTATGAAAAACTGCCATGCAGGTCCTACTCTGTCCTGCTCTGGCGGCTGTGGGCAGCCTGTGTAGTGCACCTCCTGAGGCTGAAAGGAGGCAGAGATTACCCTGGAACTTTGACTTAGTAGCTGTATTATTGTGGGCAAGTTACTCTTTCCCTCTGAGCCTTGCTCTTCCCAGGTGTGTAACAGAGAATGAAATCTAAGCGGCAGAATGTTTCTGACATTTTAAATGACATATTGAATGCAAAATAATTATTAAAGTAATCACCATTTATTATGCTACTACATCCATGGGGTTTTTCATACCATCTCCTGCAATTCTGCAGGACAGATGTCTTTATCCCTGTTTTATAGATGAGGAAACCTAGACTCAGCAGAGAGATTACGTTTCTTGGGCAAGATAACACAGCATTTAAAAGGTAGCTGGAGTTTTCAAAGCCAGTGCTTTTTTCATCACAAGCTGCTTATCCCTGGACGTGGCACCAGAGAGGTGCTCACTACATGTGCATTTGAGCTGTATCTTCCTCAGGGAGTACCAATTGGGGTTTCTTCCCTCGCTAGGTACATAAATCTGAGGTAGAAACTGGAAAGGCCCAAGAAGGACAGGTAGCTCTGTTTCTGGGACATGGAGGAATCAACAGGGAGCTACCCTGGCTAAACTCAGAGGGGCCAAGGAGCAGCTCTCATGGCCTCAGTATTCTTGTCTGAAAAAATGGGCACAATAATTTGCCAATAATCAGATGATACAGTAGTGTTGAAAAGACTATCAATAAAAAGAAAACAAACAAGTGGGTGAGAGGAATTAGGAGAGTGTTGAAAAGAACCAGAAGAAACAAAGACGGGGCAGGAGATGAGTAAGAAGCAGAGAGGTGGACAACGTAAATGTGAATGTGGTAGGTTAAGGCTACAGTGTTGGGAAAGGTGTGTGGTGAACTGCGAAATTTTCTTTTCTTTTCTTTTCTTTTTTTTTTTTGAGATGAAGTCTCACTCTGTCGCCCAAGCTGGAGTGCAATGGTGCAATCTCGGCTCATTGCAACCTCCGCTTCCCAGGTTCAAGCAATTCTGCCTCAGCCTTCCAAGTAGCTGGGATTACAGGTGCCCTCCACTGCACCTGGCTAATTTTTGTTTTTTTTGTTTTTTTAGTAGGGACAGTGTTTCATGATGTTGGCCAGGATGGTCTCAAACTCCTGACCTCATGATCCACCCACCTCAGCTTCCCAAAGTGCTGGGATTACAGGTCTGAGCCACCGCACCTGGCTGAAGTGGGAAATTTTTCAGCTCTGTCACTGCCTTGCATGGCATTGAATTATAATGCTCTTTTGTGAGTATATTCACTAAGGAGAACTTGAGTGAAGTTCAATACATTTCAAACCACTTTGGGTTTTTTTGTGTTTAATCCATGGTTTCTTTTTATGAAATGAAATTTTACACAGTGACAAATTCATAAATGACTCTGTGGTAGAAGCCTCTCTAACGGAGGTAAGTCCCATAGCCTCCTAGCCTATGCTCACCCCGTAAACCTCCTCCTGAGCTCCCCAGAAGTACACTGAGGCACTGCCACAGCCTTCTAGGGTAGCAGGGGGGCACAGTCTGTAAAATCCTGCCTTCGGAGCCTGCCTTGGCTCCTAATCCTGACCTTCCACTGGCTTGGGAAACATCACCATAACCCTCTGAATATCAGCCTTCTCATCTGTGAAATGGGATCAGACTAAATATCCCTAAGACTCCTCCCAGCTCTGAGACACTCTGGTCTGTGGTTTCCATGAGTAGAGTGCCATAACACACTAGAGCATTTGGACAGAGGCACCAAGTGCTCAGAGAAGTGCTTGGGGACGGGACTGGAAAGCCGAAAGTAGGCTTACTGCTGAGTCACCACCCCTTGGTTCTGACTGCACTGATAGTGTACCTTCCTCATCATCAGGCTCCTTCCCTCCACTCAACTCTTGAGACTCTAGGGGACAGGACAGGAAAGGAGGTAACAACCAAGAGGAAAGGAAGGTGGCAAAGGGCAGGACCTGTTAACCCTTCCTGTTAGAGGGCATCTCACAGCTGACTTCCCTGATGCAAAGACATCTGAGTCTTGGTTGGGGCAGAAGACAAAGCTCCCTCCACCTCCAAAGGTAGGCGGGGGACAGCCATCTTAACCTTCTGGCTCACTTTGCTGAGAAGCCATCCAAAGGTGTTTTGGGGTATCTGTTTCTCATTTTTAGCTATCCATGCAGAAATAAAACCAAAGATGGGAAGCCTCCTCAAGGCCTGCTCTGTGTTGCCATTTCCTGACCTTGTCACCCACATCCCACTTTGTTGTTAGGCTGGCCTGTACCTCTCAAAACGCTTTCAAATCTGTATTCACACTTCATCTTCCCCAAATGCCTGGAAATTAAATGTTGTTATTTAGTTCCTGTATGAGGGTTCAGAAACCAAAACTTGAAGTGGTAAATGGTGAAGCAGTAGTGGAAAAAACAGACCTCTGAGAAGGAGGAACTAACTCCTCATCCCTATTCCAACACTTCTTCATTGGGGGCTTTTGGAAAGTCACACCACTTCTCAAAACTCCAGTGTCCTCAATTATAAAGCCGGGCTTAAGCTCTAGCTCACGGGCTATTCTAAAGATCAGGAGAGAGGATGCCCATGGATCTGGCTTAAAAACCATGAGTGACACCAGGTGTTTGTTGCTGTTGTTATGACTATGGAGGCACCAGAATGGATCCAGGGTCATGACTCCCAGTTTAGGCCAGAGTCCTTTCTCCCTCTGCCACATGCTGGAGAAGGAGAAGCCATCTCTACCCCTCTCTGGGCAGGACTTGCTGACCCCATCACTGGGCAATCTTGCCTCTAATCCTGTGGACCAATCATTGGCTAATTCACAGCAAAATGATATATTCAGTTACCACACGGGGAGGGTATTTCTTTCTGGAGAATTTAAAGTGTTAATGAGATGAAATCAGTGGTAAAGTTTCAGGGGATATGCGTGAGGAAGAGTTGGAGATTTCATCAGGAAAGAGCTTTGAACTAGAATTTACAGGTTTGAGTAAGATTGAGATGAACAGAGAGGACGACAAAGCACAAACCACGGTGTGAGGTAGAAAGTGAGCTGAGGATCAGGAGATGGAGGGGGCCTGGTTGTGTGGTGGCCACACGTCAGTGGCAGTCCCGGCTACGTATCTTTCCACAGTAATACATTGTCATCATTGATTGGCCTTATACGATCAACCCATGTCACGTGACACCCCTGAATTAATTACTGTGCAGGAGGAGGGCTACCCCCTGAGCTGGGCATCCCAAACTATCTAGCTTCTACGGGAAGAGGAAGGGGTAAAATGACTGTAGAAGAGGCACGTTATAATCTTCACTGCACTGACTCAGATGAAAGGTTGGCACCTGAGGAGAGTGGATGAATATCATGGGACCCAATCCTCTCGGGCCTTGTGGGCAGAGGTTGGTATCCACTCTGTCTCCAGGGTCTCACTCTGTCATCCAGGGTGGAGCGCAGTGGCACAATCACGGCTCACTGCAACCTCCACTTTCTGGGCTCAAGAGATCCTCTCACCTCAGCCTCTAAAGTATCTGGGACCACAGGTGAGTGCCACTATGCCTAGTTATTTTTTTCATTTTTTTTGTAGAGACAAGGTCTGGCTATGTTGCCCAGGCCAGTCTCAAACTCCTGTCCTCAGTGATCCTCCTGCTTCAGCCTCCCGAAGTGCTGGATTACAGGTGTGAGCCACCAATTCCAGCATCTTCTCTTTTCATAACACATGTGGTTACTTATTTAGTGGTGGCTATCTACCAACTCCATGAGTGCCAGAATAATGACTATCTTGCTCTCCAGTCATATCCTTGGCTCCTAAACAATGGGAATTAAATAAATTCTTGTTAAAAGAAGGAATGACTGAATCCGACAAGTGTGACCTGCTTAGATATGGTAAAACTCTATAGGGTCACACACTGCAGATGCAAAACCATCACAGAAAGAACTTCAATTCAGCCTTGGACAGCTCAGAAAAGAAGTCTCTTATTTCTGGATCCCATTTCCCAGTCAGTTGGGAAGAAGAAGCAAAATTGGTTTGGACTCTCCAATCCTGCCCCTATTCTCCGAGCCTGCATTCTGAGAATGGCATGGAGCTACTGTTTCCTTTCGTTACCCCCTCATCTCACCCTGGAGATACATTTATGATAGAACAATATGCTATCTATAGGCTCATATTGGTAATTTGCCCTGTGTCATCCTCCAATTTTATTCTAACAAGAAACAATGAATTTGGTGACATTCTTGTATCTCACCCAAGTCATGTCCCTTGTCACTTACCCCAAGAATACAGCACTGTGGAAGGGTGAAGGGAGCAATTGCACACATGCCAGCAACTAAAGCCACATCCTGGTCGTTTTGCCACTTCGTCACCTTAAATATTTCTCCAGAACGAAATGTGAAAATGAAATTACTTAGAGATTGCCCTAAGTGTAGAAATTGCATCCACTTAGGGACAAATGATACCCCATCTTTATTTGACTTCAAAATATTTACCACTTTCATCTTCGCTGTTGAAGTAAAAGAACAAATGCATTAACTGATCAGAAATTCAGAATAAAATTAATTTTATCTGTAACATTCCCTGGCACTATTTCGACTTGACACTCCTAAAGATGAACAAAGAGAGCAGTTGAAAAACCATCCTGGCCTTAATATTAAGGAAGCAGAGAGAATCGTTTATTTTTTTTATCAGATTACTGAATGGGTTGATTTGATAAAAGCTTGAGTAATCCAAAGTATATATGTACTGACTGATACATTACAAAGGGGAAAAATGGATGTTCCTAAATGATACTTAGGAAGTAAATTGGTACTTTTAGAGATATGTTTATCATTTTTATTATAATGAGCAAAGGGCCAGTTTGAGGACCAGTAATATCAAAATGCACATGCTCTCTACAGGGCAATAGCTTTGCTTGAATGAACTCCATCACAATGCGAATGCTGAGGCTTGTTGTATGGACTCTAGAGTCACCACAGGGTTACTGCCTCCTGAGAACACAGTTACTACCTTGCCTCACCTTTAAGGATTTAATCTTAGTTTTTGCATTTCTATCAGCCTTAAATAAGTTGTTTTCATTTCTGCTATTTAGTTTTCTCATCTGAGAAAACTCGTGTGAGAAAATTCCAAAAGGTTTCCCAGGAGCTGCTTGTGTTGGACCGAGTGGGTTTCTCAGCTCTCTCTAGGACCCAAAGTGGGTGAGTAATTGGTGGCAAGGACAGGGAATCGGGTTTATTTTATGGTTCCCTGTGTTTATAGGTTCAGCAGCCCCTGAAGCCGTGAAAGAGCTGGTTGGTCCCCTTGGTGGAGCCGTGACATTCCCCCTGATGGCCAATGTGAAGCAGGTTGACTCTATTGTCTGGAACTTCAACACAACCCTTCTTGTCACCATGCAGCCAGAAGTGCCCACTATCATAGTGACCCAAAATCGTAATAAGGAGAGAGTATCCTTCCTAAATGGAAGCTACTCCCTGAGGCTCAGTGAACTGAAGAAGAATGACTCAGGGGTCTACCACGCGAAGATATACAGCTCATCCCTCCAGAACCCCTTCACCCAGAATTATGTGCTGCATGTCTACGGTGAGCAGAATCCGTTCCAATGGTGGATGGCTGCCTTGGTGAGGTGGTGAGCTCCTTGACATGAGAATGTTTAAGCAGAGGCCGGATAAACACTTGGCAAGAATGTGGGAGAGGGTACTCCGTCATGAATGAAATAGATATAGCTGATCCATGAGTTCCCTGACTACTCAGAGATGCTATAAGAAGTAGCGTGGGCCAGGCACGGTGGCTCAAGCCTGTAATCCCAGCACTTTGGGAGGCTGAGGCGGGTGGATCACGAGGTCAACAGATTGAGACCATCCTGGTCAACATAGTGAAACCCCGTCTCTACTAAAAATACAAAAAATTAGCTGGGCATGGTGGCACGTGCCTGTAATCCCAGCTACTCAGGAGGCTGAGGCAGGAGAATTGCCTGAACCCAGGAGGCGGAGGTTGCGGTGAGCCGAGATCTCACGCCATTGCACTCCAGCCTGGGTAACAAGTGCCAAACTCTGTCTCAAAAAAAAAGAAGCAGCAGCGTGGTGCAGTGGATGGCTGATCCGTGCAGTGGCCATCATACAGATCAAGGTCAAATGCTGGCTTCTTTATTTAGTCACATGACGTTAGCTAAGTTACTTAACTTCTTCAAGTCTTAGTTTCCGTATCTGTAGTGGGGAGGAAAGCAATACCTACCTTAGGAAGATTTTTTGGCCAAAGTATCGATTACACCTCTTCCTCTGCAGATTTCAACCAATTGATATATAGATGCAAGAAGGAGGGGACGAAAATATCAGCATTATTTCTGGTAAATGTAGACAGGAGAAATGCTTCCTCCCAAGTCTGGACCATGGCACTCATCCAGGGAAGTTAAAATTACAAAACAATTACTCAAACAGCTACAAGAAGAATAGCTGCCTCACTCACTGAGCCACAGTATCACTGACATCAGGAGACGGGCCTCCAGACTTGCTTGTAGGAGGAAGACCTGCACCTGATCCAGGTGTCTTCCATATAGACATGGTTGAAGGCAAAGGAAGATAAGCATTCTGCAGGGTAACTAGCTGCAGGGTAACTAGCTGGGGGAGGAGGGAAAAGGGCAAACCACATTTGAACAGCAATCTTTAACGTCTCAAACCCATGAGTAGAGAAAGGTAAATGATGAGTGTCAGACTCTTACCATCTCCCCAACGAACCAATTACTCATCCTCTGATGCAGGGGAGTGTGCGCAAGGTAGAGAAGGGGGCCAGAAAGCCTACTCTAATACTATTTTCTCCTAGAGAGTAAAGCGAACTCTCCTAGTAAAGGGAAGCCTGGGGACAGAGACTAGGGAAGCCTGGGGACAGAGACTAGGGAGCCTCTAGAATAGAAAATATTAGCGGACATCTAACATGCGTTTAGCACAGTGCTTCCCATGTGGCTATGCTTAGCAAATGGCATTACATTCTTACTGTGTTATTATTTCTGTCATTCTTGTTGTTACTGTTATTATATACCTGTGGGAAAGCAGACTTAGGTCATTCTCCTTTCCAGGTAAGAATGAGAATTCTGCTGAATTACTGCTTTTTCTCCAGTCTAGAGCTCCTAGAGAGATTCAGGCCCAAGGTATCCAAGGCTCATTCAGAAAAACGAGAGCTATAGGCAGAGTTTCCACCCCTGGTTGTCCTTTCTCTTTCACAGAGCACCTGTCAAGACCTAAAGTCACCATGGGTTTGCAGAGCAATAAGAATGGCACCTGTGTGACCAATCTGACATGCCACATGGAACATGGGGGAGAGGATGTGATTTATACCTGGAAGGCCCTTGGGCAAGCAGCCAGTGAAACCCATAATGGCTCCATCCTCCCCATCTCCTGGAGACGGAGAGAAAGTGATATGACCTTCATCTGCTTCGCCAGGAACCCCATCAGCAGCAACTCCTCAAGCCCCATCCTTGCCAGCAAGCTCTGTGAAGGTAACTGCCTCTCCCCTCTCCACAGAAGCCTCTGCCCAGAACCTACACCTTCTTCAGCTCATGGAAACTGGAGGCTACTGGGTGGTCAACGGGCTGGGAGGAAGGTAGCAGGTGCTCCAAAGGCTGGGTCGTTTTTCTGAGCTGACTTTTCTCCCTTCCCCATACCTCTACCCATCCTCTCTTTAAAGGTGCTGCTGGTGACCCGAATCCTTCCATGGTCCTCCTGTGTCTCCTGTTGGTGCCCTGCCTGCTCATTCTCTTTGCTCTGGGGCTATTTCTTTGGTTTATAAGGAGAGAGAGACAAGAAGGTACAGTGTGTACTATTTTTTGTCCTTACCCATATTCATGCTTTTCTCCTTCCTTGATTCAACAAGCACATATAAAGCTGTATGCCAGACTTGGCATGAGGTGTTGAAGCTTCAAGAAGCACACAGTCAGTCTACAGTCCTTATTTCTGGAGTAGAGAAATGCTGGAGGCCTTTCCTGAGGACATGATTCTCCTAGTTCCCTTTCCAAGGCCTAGTTCTCTTCTTCTCCCAGAGGGACATCCTGATGTGGCTCTTCTGTTGATACCCACATTGCTGACTGCTCCCCTGACCTGGGAGGTGATGGCCTCCAACTCTGAAGTCCCCACAGACCAGCATCTTCCAGTCAACCCTTCCTATCCCTTTCCCTGTCAGAGCCCACATACCACTCCCACCCTCTCTACAGGATCATCTTGAGACCTTGCTTTACTACCCACCTCAGTTTAGACACATGGCTCCTGGAGAAGCCCTTCTCCATCTCTCTCCAGCCGTACCCTGTGCTGTGTTCCTAAACCCTGCTGATTGGTCTTCTGGGTTCCCACCATCCATGTGGGTGACGGGGAGGAACCTAACATCAGTTGGGTATGACCTGTAGACTTTGAAATCTCCCTTCCCTCCTGGAAGCCCCTCTGAAAGTGTCTTTGACTTTCTCTACTTCCCACTTTGACCACCTTGATCCAGAGATCAGGAAGTGAAGTGATGAGGGCGGCCAATGCACCCTGTTTTGTTCAGGATTTTCCCAGTTTTAACACTGAAAGTCCTCTATCCTGAAAACTTTTCTGTTACAAGGAAACTGGGATGCTTGGTCACCCTAAATGGGTCATCCAAGAGAAATGGTGGGTCAGTGGGAGTGGTGAGTGGTTGGAGAGATGGCTTTGATTCTCTCCCAACTTGCTTTTAGAGTCCATTGAAGGGAAGAAGAGAATGGACATTCGTGAGGAAACTCCTAACTTATGCCCTCATTCTGGAGAGAACACAGAGTACGACACAATCTCTTACACTAATGTGAGTCCCTTCTCATCTTTCCTGGGGACTGATCCTCTCTATGAGGCTCTCCTTGTGAGGTTTTTCCATGGGTTTGGGCAACATGGGAATGAAGAGGGGAGTAAGGATATATAGCCTTAAAGCCCAATGCACCTGTGCCTCCTCCAAGTCTTCATGGATTCTCTTCTGTGCAGAAGAAGCTGGTGGTCTCTGGAGCACCTGGTTCTGACTCATAATGCTCATGCTGTGATCTATGAAGTCACCTGTTCCCCCTCCACAGTTCATAGCGGCCACTCAAAAGGCCAGATTCCTTTTGCATAAGGCAGTGGGTAGAAGAGTGTGACTTTGACAGGATGTTTGAATCATGGTGTCAGAAGACTTCTCTAGAGATGCATCTTCCTCTGAAGTGACTGAAGGAGCCATCACGAGAAGGATCAGGGCACTTGTGGTGACTCTGGGTCCCCACTCAAGGCACTGCAAGTGTAGTCACTGAGTGGAGTGAATGAACACGGTTCATTCAAAGCAGTCTCCGAAAAGAAAATCTTAAGAATAAAGTTTCAAGAAACTCAAATAACAAAAGACAGTTTGGAGAATGAAATAAGTAGACAACTTCAAAAGTCTCCCCAGGGCCAATCCAATCACTGCAGCCCAGGCTGGGCTAGCTCTTTAGAGGTCATAGAGCCCTTTATCACAACGGCCAAACAGTGAATAAATAAAAATACTTTGGATCTCAAAACCCCAGTTTTACTCAAACCTTTGGTGCGTCTCAGTCAGGTTGCATCTTCCTACATTTATTTGCCTACAACATTTACCTACGTTTACGCCCTACAAAGAGGAAATGTTACCAAAGTCATTAGTATTCTAAGCACTCTTTCCTTTCTCACAAGGGAGGCTTCTTTGTGCTCCATTTAACTGGTTTAAATCAAAATTTATTCTTTATTGCCATGTTCTTTCCTTCCCTGCTTAAGATGCATCCCCATAGGGCTGCAGGACTGCCCTGGATGTTTAGGAATAGACTTAGCCAACCCAGGATATTTACCTGTGGTTGGGAAGGAGTTTTCGTTATTGTTGTTCTTGTTTTATTTTGTTCCATTAGTCTTTCCTGATTTTCTCCAAGGGCCCTTTGACCGTCGGAAAAGTTTATTTGAGCATTAGCCATATTACTTCAAATTATCCTTTAATCCTTTTAGGAGGCTCTAGCTAATGAGACTTGTATATGTATCTTACATATTTTTGAGATTCATTTAAACACAATACAGTTTAAAAATAATGCAATGGCCTCCTGAAAAAAGTTACCAAAAATTATTATAACAGCAGTCACCAACAAGAGAACTTCCTACTACCCCTCCCTGTTCCAGAACCCTCCTTTCCTTTCCCCATCTCCTCCCCTCCCAGCTTTCCCCTCCCTGGATTCTCAGTGTCTCTCTGGCCTTGTCTATGTGACTCAGGAGGAGGGTGATGATTTCTTTTGTTTGTTGTTTGTTTTTTTAATAGAGAACAATCCCAATGGAAGATCCAGCAAATACAGTTTATTCCACAGTGGAAATACCCAAAAAGGTAAGAAGCTTTAGAGCTGAATTTCATCTTAATGGTTCTGTTTCTTTTCCTGCTTCATATGTAGGTCAAAATTTCTTGGGGCCCAGGAATTTCATATTCTCTGGTATCAAAAAGTACCCTAGTAATTCCCCATTCCCTTTGCTTAGGGTAATATGAGAACATGGGGGATGGAAGAAAATTGTGTTTTAGGAGTCGAACTGGGCAATCTGAAACAAATGGAGTAGGAGAGAGGTTCTAGATAGGAATAATAGAGAAAAATCAAAAGGCTTCTGACTGAGGTTATAGATGAGGAACAAGACCAGGCTTAGGTTATGCATGGAATGAAGAGAATAGCTGGGAAGGAGACTCCAGTTTGCTCCTGAGCCAACAGTAAACTGTAGGAGAGAGAGATTTCTACTTTTCACCTGCAGTCCAACTATGTTACATCTGGTCTGCATCCTCTCCTCACTTAAACTACTAATTCAGTAGCTTTAATGCTTATTCCTTCACAGGATATGGTTGGCAGAAATAATGGTACCTTTCTGTCTCCTTTCTAGTCCTCTCCTGAACAGATCCAAAAAGATAAGAATCATTAAAACAATTTCCTTAGTAATAGAAAATGTTGGTTTCATGAACTATTACAAGGAAAGTTCAGTTCATTAAACATTCAACAAAATAAATATGGGTTAAATTTAAAGAATAGTTTCTCTAAGCTAGGGGTGATTAAGATTAACCAGTGGGAGCAAGTGTGGCAGCCGATTTGGGTTGGGTAACCTTGGAAATAAAGTTTCCTGGGTGCCGGGGTCTCCATGGAAGATCCAGAGCCCTGTTCTCCTCCCTCACTCTGCTTTCTTATTTTCTGTTTTCAGATGGAAAGTCCCCACTCACTGCTCACGATGCCAGACACACCAAGGCAATTTACCTATGAGAATGTTATCTAGACAGCAGTGTACACCCCTAAGTCTCTGTCCAAAAAAACCAAGTCTCAGCCCAAAGAAAACAATCGAAAGAATTCATTGATTTGACTAGAAATGCCAAGGAATAATGAAGAACACTGACTTTTTTCCAGGATAAACTATCCTTGATGCTCCTTTAGATTTGGGAGTTCATAATTCCATCCACTGCTGAGAAATTTCCTCAAACCCAGAAGGTTTATCCCATCCCCAAAATGGGATTGTGAATTTTGTCAGCAAACCACAAGAAAAGTGCTTAGAAAAGTGGTCCTATAAAAAGGTAAATGCCGCGTCACACATATTAATGACAGCCTGTCATATTAATGAAGGCTCCAGGTCAGTGTCTGGAGTTTCATTCCATCCCAGGGCTTGGACATCAGGATTATACCAACAGTCTTGCTACCAGGAGAGTAAGAAGACCAAAACAGACAGACATGTCCAGCAGAAGCAGATGTACCTGATAAAAATGGATGTATTCATTGGCTCCGTAAACTATGTGCCTGGCACTATGCTCAGCTTACACTAATTGATCAGACATGCTCTTTGCTCTCATGAAATTGGCTCCAAATGAATGAACTACTTTCATGAGCAGTTGCCATAGGCCTGACCACAGATTCCCTGAGGGCCAGGTGTGGATCCACAGGACGTGAATGTCAAAGCACACAAAGATGAAGAATCCAGGGCAGATGATAATGTTTGGCAGATACTATGATGGAGACACAGAAGCATGTATGGCCCAAGGACGATGACCCCAAGCCAGGCTTCATTCATGCACTTGTGCTGCAAAAGAAAAGCCTAGGTCTAAAGGCTATGCCAGAGCCCATCCCAATAAAGAGATGGAGTCTAAAGTCACATTTTAAATCTAATATGGGAGACTTAGAGTCAAGCTGTAGAGACTGGTGGGGCACGCGGGGCAGTGATTACTTGTAAACCGTTAAAGATGGTTAATTCATTCAATAAATATTTATTAAGAACCTATGAGGTTGGGCACAGTGGCTCATGCCTGTAATCTCAGCACTTTGGGAGGTCAAGGCAGTTGGATCACTTGAGGTCAGGAGTTCAAGACCAGCCTGACCAACATGGTAAAACCCCATCTCTACTAAAAATACAAATTTGCTGAGTGTGGTGGTGCGTACCTGTAATCCCAGGTACTTGGGAGGCCAAGGCAGGAGAACTGCTTGAACCCAGGAGGTGGAGGTTACAGTGAGCTGAGATCATGCCACTGCACTTCAGCCTGGGAGACAAGAGTGAAACTTCATCTCAAAAAAAAAAAAAAAAAAACCTATGCTACATCGGTCTGAAACATAAGATGAACATCCCTGCCAACATAGAGCTCACCACCTCTTTACTTAAGTGAAAAACATGGGGGGGAAAGGGGACTGGCGGCTTTTGATGTGCTCCCTGACACATATCTTGAATGGAGACCTCCCCACAAAGTGTTGAAAGTGTTGAAAAAACTTAAAAACATGCTTGTTGGGCAAGAATGGGATTGAGAGTATCTTCTCTCAAAAAGGCCTTGTAAAGGAACTGAGCCAGATCTCTTCCCTTACTCCAAACCTACTGTAGGAGCCCCCCTCGCAAAAAGTCTTCTTTACTATCTTAACAAAATAGCTATTGTGAAATTCACATACAAAAAGATGCATTATTTTGCTATTTGCAATAGTGAAATTCTGGAAACTGCCTAAGAACCTGACCACCACAGGTGAAGGTCTGTTCACAGACGGACATTACGAATTATGGGTTAGACTGGGTGCGGTGGCTCACGCTTATAATCCCAGCACTTTTGGAGGCCGAGGCGGGCAGATTACTTAAGGTCAGGAGTTCAAGAACAGCCTGGCCAATATAGTGAAATCCCATCTCTTCTAAAAATACAAAAAAATTAGTCAGGCATGGTGGCAGGCCCCTGTAATCCCAGCTACTCAGGAGGCTGAGGCAGGAGAATCTCTTGAACCAGGGAAGGGGAAGTTGCAGTGAGCCAAGATTGTGCCACTGTACTCCAGCTTAGGTGATAGAGCAAGACTCTGTCTCAAAAAAAAAAAAAAAATATGAGTTATATTCAGCATCATGAAATAAACCCATGTAACAAACCTGTACATGTAGCTTCCAAACCTAAAATAAAATTTAAAATAACAACTTTTTAGCACGTGCCTGTGATCCCAGCGACTCGGGAGGCTGAGGCAGGAGAATCTCTTAAACTTGCGAGGTGGAGGTTGCAGAGAGGTAGAGGTTGCAGAGAGGTGGAGGTTGCAGTTAGCCGAGATCACATCACTGCACTCCAGCCTGGGTGACAGAGTGAGACTCTGTCTCCAAAAAAAAAAAAAAAGTCTTTTTGTAAAAAAAACTTGGGTCGACCAGGCATGGTAGTCTGTAATCCCAGGACTTTGGGAGGCTGAAGTGGAAGGAGTTCACTTGAGCTCAGGAGTTCAAGAACATCCTAGGCAACATGGCAAAGCCCCATCTCTACAAAAAATACAAAAATTAGCCAGGCATGGTGGTGCATGCCTGTAGTCCCAGCTACTCAGGAAACTGAGGTGGAAGGTTTGCTTAAGCCTGGTAGGTTGAGGCTGCAGTGAGCTGTAATTGTGCTACTGCACTCCAGCCTGGGCAACAGTGAGCTTATCTCAAAACAACAACAACAGCAGCAACAACAATGGGTTGTAAAGTTAGGAAATGTTATGACATCACAAATTTTAAAATTAGAATGCAAATTTTAATGTGTTCTATGATTACAGCTGTGTTTAAAAAAAAATCTATGCATGGAAAAATTTGGAAGAAAAAAACATCAAAATAGTAACAGCAGTTGCTTAGGCAGATGAAAGCTTAGGTGGCTTGGTTTTCTCCAATTTTTCTTTATTTTCTGAATATTCCTTAATGGGAAAGTATGTATTACATAAAGGAGTGGAAGAAGTTTTAAATAGATGTTCGGTGAGAAAAAAGAGGTGCCACCCACTACGTGGGGTTGAGGGGAAAGTCTGGACCCTCAGGGTGAGGGTGCGGGGGAGGATGGAAAGACCTCCTCAAGTGAGAGTGGGTGGGGAGAAAGGAGGAAGCCCTTCACACAATGACACAGGAAAAGATGGCTTTTCCTCAGAGAGGGCTGCTGGAGGCTGGGGGGAGCTTCACAGTGTGTGGAGAGGATGCATCTGTTCTGCCTTCCCCTCTCTTTACAGCCCATTCAGATGGTAAATAATTATACTTTGGGGTTAATCATACTTTGGGGTTTTTTTAAACCAGCGACTGAAACAGGACCTAGGAAGACCAATAGATCTGGAGTCTGGACACTCAATAAATACTGTCCCAAAGCTGGCTGCAGAAAGAAGCTTCCCCTCATGGGCTCAACCAGCAGGCAAAGGAAACCACCAGCTCTTTAGGGGTGAGAAGTCACCTCACCTCCCAGCCCCATCACATGCAGCCCCCAAAGCTGTGTGGTTTGAAACTTGTGAGGTGCGAATAACAAATATGTAAACACTGAAACCTTGCTGGGAAAGTAAATGTTATCTGTACCATTTCAGCAAGGCTTTCACTCGTTCATTTGATCATGCTTGCATGCATTCATTTATTCATTCAGCAGTACTAACTGAGCACCACTACGTGCTGGGCGTTTTGCTGAACTCAGGGAATACAGCAGTGGGCCACAACAGACGTCTCTGCCCTCAGGGTACTTACATTCTAATGACAAAGGTCAAAGCTCAAATATCCTTTAAATAACTCGGCTGGGTGATGACCGCTATGAAAGAGAGGTGTGTGTGTGGTGCCAAGAATGGCTCATTTTCCTGTGGTCAGAGACGGTATCTCCAAAGTGGTGAAGATCAAGCTGAGATCTGAAGATGAGTAGGAGCTACTTACAAGAAGTAGGGAGGGAAAATAAAACCCTTCTAGCCAGAGGTGCAAAGGCCTTGTGGTGAGAAGACACAAAAGAATAAAACTCAGTGTAGCTGGCAGAGAGGGCTGTGCTTTTAAAATTTCGTTAGTTGCAGTATGCAAAACAAATTGTGGGCGGTCAAGGCTGCATGTAGGCAAACTGCTCCAGTTATGGAGGAGAGAGGTGATGGTAGGTTGGACAAGGATGCTAGGATGGAGAGGGAGAGGGAAGGATGCTCTTAAGAGGTATCTAAGGGATAAGGAGGTTTCTGCTTTCAGTACTGTCTTGGGGATGTTTGCTAATCTGGAAAAGGAGGTGGGAAGACAGGCCTTTCTTTTGATAGCCTCTTGGGACTAGAAGGACAAAATTTGGAGTCTGGGACTTCCAAGGTTAGAGAACTGGTAAATCACTCACCTTTTTGACCTGGAACCCCAAAAGACTTACCCTAGGAGATTTACCCTTCTTGTAAACAAGAAGTACACCCGTTTTAAGTCATTTATATAGCCAAGAAAATCTCAAAGCTGGTAGTAGATTAATGACACCTAAGCTTATTAGTGTCCACGGGTACACTAAGCAAACAAAGACCATCACTAAAAGAAAATAACATTCTTAGGTCTCACATTTTTCCTACAAATAATTTTTATTCAGCAAAGTTCATCCTATGTTCAGAGACAACCAGGCCCATGGGGAGACAAGACCCACAAGCAAGACCCTCCCGGTGGGAAGGGACTTTCACAGACTGCAGCCCGGGATGTATCCCGGCCACTTCCTTCTCATTTCATACCAAGAAGATGGAAGGAGGAACTGCGAACCTCCTCAGTGCTGGGGTAAAAAAGGCTGATGCATAACCTGCTTATCTGGCACAGGATGGGAGTTAATGGAAGGCCATGCTCTGTGCTCAAAGCAAGGAAGACCTCTTTGAAGCATGACAATGTGGCCAGACTTGCTGACTCTAGCTGCAGCCTTTCCCTAGCTGTTTACTGATTGTATCTAAAGTAGAGCATGCTCTATACCTTCAAAGGAAATGCCAAACCGCCACAGCTATAGACCATCTGCTTGATGCTTCACTTCCTTTTCGCCCCCCACATTCCTGACCACATGCTTCTTTGTTTAAACACTCAATAATTAGTGTGGGACTCTAGTGCTTGGGGCCTTCACATCCTCCTACTCCTGTCAGCCCCCTGGGAGCCCACCATTATGCACTCTTACTCTTGTCTCTTAATTTTGTCTCCGCTGACCCTTATTACTTCCTAGGTTTTGTCTGGGCTGGTCCCTTGACACCTCAGTTCCTGTATCTGTAGGCAGACTTTAAAGATGTTTTGAGTTCTATCTGACTATAGCCCTAAGCATACTCTTTATTGCAATCTGTCAAGGATATAGCCAGCAACAGAGAAGAGTTGATAAATCATAAGATGATCATTTACAATATTTAATATTTAGAGCCTTCACAATATGCCAATTATTGTTCTAAACTACATGTATGTGTGTATGTATATGCATATATAAATTTATTTAATCTTTATAACAAACATACCCATTTCATAGCTGAGGTAGTTGAGACCAAGGTTGTCTTGTGTCTAGTTGGGTTTTGTGGGTTGTTTTGTTTGGCTCATATATGTTACTGCTCTAGACGGTATTAATTAACTGACCAATTTATTTAAAATGTATTATATATTATTTTAAATGTATGTTGCCCAGACTGGCCTCAAAACTCCTGAGCTCAACTGATTCTCCTGCCCCAGCCTCCCATGTGGCTGTGATTACAGGTGTGCACCACTGTACCTGGCCTTCCTCTGCCTTTTTTACTCTCTTCGGGCCTTCAACTGATTGGATAGTGCTCAGCCACACTGATAAGGGGGATCTTTACTCAGTCTACTGATTCAAAAATAAATCTCTTCTGGAAACAGCATCACAGACATACCCAGAAATAATATTTTACCAATTATCCAAGCATCCTTTAACCCAGTCAAGTTGACACTAAAATTCATCATCACAAGTCCACCCTTTGTCAATTTGACACCCATAGCAATCTCCTAAAACTCATACTTAATCTGCAAATAAACAGAATAATAATTCAATCTAGCATGATATAAAAATCTCACATACAACTGAAAACACATTAACCTCTTCCCTAGAAGAAGAGGTAGTCTTTTAGCAATGTTTACTCTTCTCCCAATATTCTGTAACTTAAATATTACGATGTAAAATTAACAATACTTAAATACTGATATAAATTTAATACATCTTATGTTACATGAGAAGGGAATAAGACACGAAAGAAAACAAAGATATTTGCCTAACATATGTACACACAATTGTATTCATAACAAAATAAGGAGGAAATATCCATGACAAATAGTCCTCATTTCTGTAGGGTTATACGGTTGTGGGTGAAACTGACAATTCTCTCTTTCTACTACACATTCTGTATTTCCTTTAACTTCAGCAAGCACCTCAACTGGTTTTTGCTCTTTACCAGGTAGGGTGACCCAGATCTTCATTCCTGAAGGGTCTGGGCCATTAGCAGTTCTGCCTGGATTGGAATGTCGTGGTTTTCCATTGACCTTAATCACAGGGCATGATAATATATAAGAGATGCCCCTAAGGGATCGCTTTGTATTTCAGACATACTCTTCTGTAACTGCTATTGTGAAATACTAGTCTAATTTCCCCCTTGGCAGTCAGGATCGGTATCCCAGCAAACACCAAGGCTCCCTTCTTTGCCTGTTGATTCAGAGGCATGAGGAGCCCCAGGTGCTCAAGTGGCAGCTTTG